TGCTAATAACTAGTAATTATTATGTGAATTTATAATTTATTATTGTAAAATTGTCATATTTAATAAAAAATAATCTTATATGAGTTTTTTTGTCAAAAAAATTTCACACAAAAGGCACAATTTTTTGAACTCACATAAGGGTTGCAACAGTTTTCAATAATTTGCTAATTTTGAAATTAAAATATGTTTTATCACTTTCAATTATAATTTTTTTATAATGTTAAAAACTTTAAAAAAAATATAAAAATTGTAAGAAACATATTTGATTAATTTATAAATATTACTTTACAATTTTGATTCTTATATAAAAAGAATTACTGACTTGTTTTTGTATACGATATTATGCATGAATTTGACAAATTCTATACATTTTACGTTATTTTTTATTATGAAAATGGATTCAGATTTTACATCAAAAACATATAAATTTGTTAACTAAATTTTTATACCACTATTAAATTCAAACTTTTCGCAAAATGTATTGTAAATATGATTATTGTTTAATCTTGGTAAATATTAGAAATTGCACCAAAAAAAAACAATAATTTAAAATGAAAAATATCAAAAATTGTCAACAACTTGTTGTATTTCGAATATGTCTTATTATCCAATAATATTCTTTTTTCTACAAACTCATTGATTATTATTACAATCATGGTGTTTAACTATTGTTTACGTATCATTCCAAAACCTCCTGCATTTTCCCATATCCCATCTATTTGTTTATTCCTGCAGTAATATACTCGAAACCCACCAGAATTTATTTGCTTTTTCCGTCTCTCGTTTCCACTATTTATCCCTTTTTTTTTTCCTCTCTCCCCCTTTTTTTTCTCTTTGCCGCCAGCGAAGGGATAGATTTTCATTTTCCCCTATCTCAAATATATATTAAAACAGCTCTCTCTCTCTCTCTCTTTCCACGCTCTAGCATTCTCGCAATTCGCATTCACCCCCTTGAAATGCGTTTCCACCCTCGCATGTTTTCCATTGGCCACCCCACAGCCGTCCGACCACCCTTTTATGTACGTGTGTGCGTCTGTATTTTTGGCGTTATTTTCGCCTTTTCCAGAACCCACCGACCCTCTTAAAAAAAAAACAAACTTGCCCACTCATCACTTCAACAAAATCGCACAGAATCAATACTACAGGATTCTCCTCTTCCCTCCCCCCGACAAAAACACAGCCAAACTCAACGGAAAACTTCCATAAAGTTTCATAACTTTTTCAATTAATGCTATTATTTTCATTGAACTTTTACATCTTATGACAATGTGTATTTAGTGCAAACTCTTTTGATTTATTAATAAGAAAGAAACAAATTGTTCAGAAATTATATTTATTTTTTTAATTATTACTTAATATGTTATATAAACTTATAAACTTAATGAAATTTGAAGCATTAAAAAGTTTTATCAAATTTATGAAATATTTATTTATGAATTTGATTCAACAGACATTTTTTTTTCATAAAATATTTAAAATGTCTGAAATTTTTTTTTCCTGTACAGAAATTCTTATTTTATTGAAGTTTTTATGAAATTTGGTGGCAAAGAACAACAAATTTTGTAATTCCTTTTAATAGACAAAGTTTTTCATGAAAATATTTGAAATATCTGAATTTTTTTTTGTTCAAAATTTTTATTTTAGTGATATTTTTATAAAATTTGTTAAATATTTGGACAATTTGTTGGCAAAGATCAATACATTTTGTAATTCCTTTAAACAGACAATTTTTTTCATGAAAATATTTGAAATGTCTGAAATTTTTTATTTGTACGAAAAATCTTATTTTAGTGATGTTTTTATAAAATTTATGAAATATTTGAACAATTTGGTGACAAAGATCAACAAATTTTGAAATTACTTTCAACAAACATTTTTTTTCATGATTATATTTGAAATGTCTGATTTATTTTCTTATACAAAAATTCTTATTTTAGTCAAGTTTTTATGTAATTTGCGAAATAACTGAACATTTCTTTTTTTATTTTAGTGAAGTTTAACAAATTTAATCTAAATATTAGAAAAGATATTTTTAATGAGAAAAACTTTGTCCTTGAACATATTAATATTTAGTAAACTTTTCTAATGATGCTTTCGTTTCCATGGTTACTTATCATTTGTAATCACATATTTTAACGGTTATCATATAATTCTTTTATCGTGTTTACTTGCGAAAAACAATCTTAATGATTCCATGGAATTACCAAAATTGGTTACCAACTTTTTAAGATAAAAGAACCAAGCGATGTCCAAAAATCATCATATGATATTAATAAATGTTCATACCGTTTTCTGGCGCCATAAAACGGAAAAGAAAAGAGAAATTTTCAACAAAAAAAAAATACTAATACTTTCTGAGAGTCACACCAAAAGTTAACGAGAGTTTAAGGGCGATAAAGAAAGGAGATATTTAAAAATAATTTTGAAAAAATTAAAAACCCTTTACATTTCAGACTGTAGACGTTAAATCATTATGAGACATAAAATATTATTAGACAAAAAGTCAGGTTTCTTTCTATAACATTTTAAAATCGGCAAAATTAAAAAAAAATAATTATAAATTTTTCAATAAATATAAAATAAATTGTGTTTATTTCATAAAGTTAGGAAACATGACAAAGTCTGCATAAAAAATGTTAAATGAATGTAAGCTAGTTACAAATGAGAAAATAATTGTTAGGTTAAATCGGGAAGAAAAAAACTTTTCATTGATTGAAAACCAAAAATTTTCTGCATTTTGTGTGGTAAAAAGTTTGATATAAGAAGTTAAGGAAAATACTCGAAGGTTACTGTTTTTTTGTTTAATTGAGACCGAGACACACTAAAATGTAATTAATTTTCTATTAAAAACGTGGCGATTTCCATCGAATTATTATTTTTTTCTTGCCTTGCTTTCTATTGATTATAGGAAACTTTGGTAAATCGTTTACTACGAATTTAAAAAAAATACATATGATGTTTATCAGATTTTCAATACAAATATTGATTGAATTAATAAATAATTATATAGATTTTAATTAACTAAATTTTATAATTATTTACTGAAATAAATCAATTTTTCAGATTTTTTTAATTAGAAAAAAAATTGTTGAAAAAAAATAATCATGATATTATTAGTTAGATAATCAAAATGTTCATCAATCATTATTATGTAGATACAAAAAATGTATACAGTAATATCTCGTGTAGTGCCCGGTTTTGTCCGCACTCTTTGAAATCGGACTAACCGAGGTCATTAAAACAGTACAAAAAGGGACTCATTTTTCAGAATTCATTTTGTCAATTAAAATTTATAATAGTTTGTTTTGAAATTTTCAAACCGTACAATGATCGAATCCGCACTATTCGAGGTATTAAAAAAAAACAATTAAAAAATTGTGTTCTCATAATGACTACGGTCGATGGGTAATTTGTATTTATTTGAGAACTAATAAAGACTGTTTATTTGTTAGCTTTTATCTCATAATAACAAAGTTAAAAATATTTGCAGATTATCTACAATAATATTGATATTTCTTGTATTAATATAATTTTTAATGAACAATTTTCAATAATACGTACGTTTCTAATTCTAACAGAAAAAAAAATAAGAATATATTTTTTTTGCTTGTTTTTACGTAGTGCTATAAACTGGTTGAAACCTATCCGAATTATGAGCGTAAGGAAAAAAACGTACACCTTCGGTTTTCGGCGTAGGTAAAGGATTTTTATTATAATATTTACCCTTTTTACCATCCTTTCTGGCCGAAAACGGAATCGATGGTCAGTTAAAAGATTGTAACCCTATAGTATGCAGCTGCTCTATGCAAAAACTTGCAGCGACGGGGGCGGACACAATGGAACCACCCCAAAATCTGGTGTGTTTTGATGCAAAAACGCACAACACATACGAAAAAAAAAAGAGGGAAATTATTGATACATTTCGCAGATGCACCCGTTCGGATGACAGACGGATGAAGTGGATAAAGAAAAAACCCTTTTTACCTAATTCTACTCAAAATCGATAGAATTTAACTCGATGACGGAATTTCTGCCACCTTTTCGTATTTCCAAGAATCTACATTTTCAAACCATCAAAAAATCAACATCATTTTTTTTTATAACTTAATTGATGATAAACACAGAATTATAAAGTGATTATTTTATTACATAAGATAACAATTATATAATTGCTTATATCCAAATATATTATTGAATAATCATCAAATATTTTTTTTAAATCATGAATTTTCAGGTAGATTCTTTAAAATTGGAAATTTTACTGCATGTTATTAAACAGTAGCAATCAACAATTAAAATCAGTAAAAATATTCAATTAAAGAAATATTTTTAAACATAATATTTTGGTCCTTGTATGTAATAACTATTATATACCTAACTATTGCGCCTCTTATAAAATGAGCCGACAAAGAAATTTTTGTCATAAACCTTTACGATCTTTACCCTTTTCTATAGTTTGATGATTCCGCCGATATCTACTTTTTTTTGTTATGAAAAAATAAGCGACAAATTTTGATTATTTTATTATCAATATTATTTCAGGTAATACTTTAAATTCTGAATTTTCTCCTACTAGAAAAGTACTACAATTTTAGCACTTTATTTAAAATTTTTGTATATAAAAATTTCATTAACCGAACAAAATAATTATAATTTATTTAAAACATTATTTTTTTCAATAATTAATATAAATTGAAAGATTAAAGCGTTTTTATTTAATAACTTCATTTTTAAATGTAATTTTTAACAAAATCTAATTAATATAGAAAATATGTTATATTGTTATTATAAAATGATTATAGTTAAGAAATATTTGTTTTTGAGCGAAAATATGAATTATAAATATTTTTGTTATTATTCTAATAATAAACATGAAATTATTTATTTATTAAAATCTTACATTTTTTTTTCATTATTTCCATTTATAAATAAATAAATTTATGTTACATAATAATCTTTAGATTTAACAATTTTTTTTTCTTGTTTGTGTTTGCTTTAAGTGTTTCAGATGCAAGTGATGGCATACGTCGTCACGTTATTATTTTTTTTTTCGAAACCCGAACACGAAGAGCAAACAATACTGAGATTACATTAGAAACAAGAAAGTGCCGATAATAATAATCGACCGATGGTAATAAGTTTCCTAATGGCTCTGAAATTGGGAAATTTTATAATTGTCGGTGCACTTTTTTTGTGGTCGAGATGATATTGGCGAGTGCAGCACAAAGTGAGGCCCACGATTGGTCCGCGTCGGAGTGGTGGGGGGCGGTCTATAATTGAAGCTCGCCGTGAAAAGGACCGGACACTTCTTAAGCTCTGCAGTCGAACCAACTCATAGCTAAGGTGAACATCGATGATAATATTGAGAGAGAAAGAGAGAGAGAATATACTAGTGACACTTACCAGTTTTGACATTTTTAGTGCTTTGTTTTGTGGATACTAGAATATTGGATTATTTAACACAAATTTAATTGGTAAGTTTCGTGTCTTCAGTCCCATTGGAACATCAGTGATTGTAGATTTCCTTGTAATCGTGATTATTAACGTGATCATTTCCATTGCAGATTTTATTGCTTTGATACAAGACGATGAGAGGTGGTGGTATGGACGTGTCTTCTTCATATGTTCAAGGAAGTCATCCGTACCCAATGATAGCATCTGCTGGATATAGCAACGCGCATATGATGATGCCAAATTCTCCGTCGCAAGCCTGGCAACCACATCTTATACCGGTAATTAAATACAAACCAATTAATTAGTGGTTCTTAAATTTGAATAGAAATCTAAATTTTATTTGATTTTGCAGAAACAAGAACCTATGGACGAAGACCGTAACGATTCTGGATTTAATTCGTCCCCAGGAAGCGATCGAAGCCAAGAACAGGTTCACCCGCCTTTCTACTCTCAGATGCCTAAATACGCCTACAACATGAGCTTCCCTATATCTTCATCGCCAAATCCCGAGCATCAAAATATGTTACAAAATGCTCCCAACATGGTGATGACACCGCAGCCCAGTCCAACTTCGTCGTCTTCATCAGGAGAACCGAAGACTCCGAACTCCGCGGAAGAACCCAATCAGGATCATTTGAGTAAATTGGAACGTGCTATGGAGAAGAACAATTTCATGTCTCCGAAGAGCCTCAATATGACAGAAAATGAACCTGTCGATGACCTGGAGGAAGATATCAAAACACCGAAAATGAATTCCCACGGAAAGGTCAAGAAATACAAATGCAAGCAATGCGATTTCGTTGCTACCACAAAGTTGAGCTTCTGGACGCACAGTGGCGAGCACATTAAAAGTGATAGACGCCTCGAGTGCACCAAGTGTCCATTCGTTACCGAATACAAACATCACCTGGAGTATCACATGAGGAACCATACCGGATCGAAGCCTTTCAAGTGCAACGAATGCGACTATTCATGTGTCAACAAATCAATGCTGAACTCGCACAAGAAGTCGCATTCGAATGTGTACCAATACAGATGCGCCGATTGTAATTACGTATCCAAATACTGTCATTCTCTCAAGCTGCATCTGAGAAAGTATCTTCATCAACCCGCTATGGTGCTGAACGCTGACGGAACACCAAATCCTCTTCCGATAATCGATGTTTACGGAACGCGTCGTGGTCCGAAGCAAAAGACATCAATGATGCCGACTATGATGGAGCCGCAATTACAACATCAAATAAATAATAATAATCAGCAAGTCAGTCCACAACAACAGAATCTACCAAGTACGCCCATAATGAACGGATTCGGCCAGCAAATTATTCCATTCCCATACCCATTCATTCCTCCGACATTCAACAATTTGTTCACGAAGCTACCTCCGCAAATGGCTGAACAGTCATCAGTGGATGATGTGGACGAGGAGGATATTAAAGAGGATGATGAAAAGATGGAAGAACAGCAGCAAATCAAATCGAATCCGTTAAAAATATTGGACTTGAGCAAACAAATTTCTACAACGAAGAACCGCAGGAAAGGTAAAGCTTTCAAGCTGGACCGCGCGGCTCTTCAGCATTACAACGGACAGAGCGATAGCGAGGAAGTCCCGGAACCAGTTGCTCCTGCAGTGGTGGTACCCAATCCACCCAAGGAAGTTGAAAGAGTGCAACCGCAGCCACAACCGGAGGAAGACCTCAGATGCAAATTCTGCCTGATGTCCTTCGGTGATGCCGTCCTTCACACCATGCACATGGGATATCACGGATTCAAGGATCCGTTCACCTGTAACATGTGCGGAGACCAATGCAACGACAGGTTATCATTCAACAACCACATTGCCAGGAAGCAGCACGCGTAAGAAGACGTCTCTGTCCAAACAGAAGCATTTCCTTACGATTACTCGTTTTCGTTCCGGATTCCCTCACGAAATATTCGCCCATCCGCATTTCTGTTCGAATATCTCGCGCGAATATCCGCAGCGGCAAGTTAATTATGTAAGTATTCATACAGAAAGCTAGTCAAAGAACAGAAATGATAGTAGTGCAATTATTTTATAAAAAAAAAAAGAAATTGTTTGTTTGTAAAAGAAACATATTTATTTATTTCAAACTGAATCAATGTTCAATTATACAAAAAAAAAATCAAAGATTTCATCACAGCTCAATGTAAAATTGCAATTTTATTACATTCCCTGCTTGCGAATTTGCTTCGAATGTAATGAAATTGAATTAGAAGCATTTCAAACGATTACCACGAAATATGTACATACGCTTTTTTTTATATTCGATACACCGGAGAAGAGAAATAAAAGAGATTTTTATACGTTAAGAAGAATTTATATATATATAGTGTGTTTTTAGTGATCGGTCCTTTAATTATTAATATTTTTTGTATAGAATTCTGGGTCCATATCTCAAAGACTGATGTAAATAAATTTTAATGTAATCTAGTACGTAATTCTCGTAGTTTTTATTACTATTATTATTATTATTAATAATCACTTCTCGATCGTTGCTCAACGCAACAATCGAGGCTTTCGAGCGATTTAATCAAAAAAAAAAAATATATACGTTATCATTTCATAAAGGAATGATGATATTAATTTGTTAGTATGTATGGGTGAGCGAAAGTGTGCGTGTATATGTAACATTTTTAGTCATCGTATTTATTTGTTTTTTTTTCTTCTTCTATTTACTAGCTGTGACGATTTACCAAAATTTTAATAAATCTATATTTAATATTAAAAAATAACAATCAATCTTTCATTATTTTACTACCGAAAAACCACAACTTCCTCCACGCAATTTAAAATATACAAAAAAAGGAAAACTGCTTGGAATCAAAGAGCGGCTTGCTCTTTTCTGAAGGCAATTAAGGAAATAGTTAAGGGCGTCCTCCTGTTGACTTTCAACCTCTTAACCAAAGCCGCACGTGTGCGTATATTTTAATTTCCTCCCCAAGTTCGAACCACGTGCGCGCTTCATCATCATCATCTTCCCTTATCCCCGAAGAAGGCAATTCGCATACAATGCAAATGTTTTGATTCGCTTACGCACAAAATGGCCGACCCTTCGACGCGTGCTCGTTGCGTCCCCTTGGCAACACCACACATACATTAGGGGATGAACAATTATTTCGCATTTACATGCATACGCTTACGTAACAATACACGTTGCACGTCTAAACAGCTTGTGTAGTCAAGGAGGGATAACCGTCAAAATGTAAATTATAACCTCTTCCAACGAAACCGTCCCAATAAAAGGGTAAATCCTGAAAACATTTTACAATGGATGGACTACTTTTTGGCAGTAAAAATTACAACAAATATTGTCGAGCTTCTGGGTGCCATGAATTTTACGAACCCCGATATATACGCAAATTTGTTACGCAATAAAACGCGCAGAATGAAATGTGCAAGGGTTTTATGCATTAACTTTTGCCTTTTCGCACACCCTATACCTGTCAAACTGTCAACGTCAAATGTACCAGTTTCATTCGAATCATATCATATCACTAGTAATTTGCATGTGCATCAAAAAAAACATGAGCATATTGATTGATATTACACAATACATTTTGAAAGATTCTATGCAAAATTGACTTTTTTTCTATTCCACAGACATTACTAATGTTTTTTGTTATGCTCTTTAAAAGTATAATTTATGGCAGCTAGGGCCTTCATGGAAACATGTAAATTACGTTACGAAGACACGGATTGTAGGATGAATAACATGAAGAAAAAAGGGGAGATGTTTGAAAAGTGACTTTTAACCAAATTTCTGGAAAGGATAATAAAAGTTGAGGCAACGTCGGCCTTCCTCATTTGCAAAAAAATACATGGGATTCAACAAAGCCGAAGTTTCTTTACATAGCATATTTTCACCCTTTTTGAAAGCAAAAAAATTAACATCAGTCAATTTACAAAAAATTTGAAAAATTTTTGTAAATTGTTATTTTATAAATTTCAGAAAAATTCTTACATGTTAAATTATTTAAAGTTAACTATTTAAAATTGTGAATTCTGAAATTTATAAAATAACAAGATTTTTTTTTCAAATGTTTTGAAATTCTTACATGTTAAATTATTTAAAGTTAACTATTTAAAATTGTGAA